TGAGCAGAGAATAATTACCCAGAGCCAAAGAAATGGGTGTTTTTTGAAAATACCAATCCACAACTGGGCAGGAGTTATAGCTAATAAAAAACTCGAAACAATTCATTAACAAGAAAACCCATGAGTGTTCACTAAATCATATTCAAGATGGAAAGAGCTACTTTCAACCTCTTCAAAGCTGCCATCTGACCACAGTGCGCTTTATAACCTGCCAAGCACATTTTCCCCTCTTAAACAAAGCCATTTTACTTTCTTTCCACTTCATCCAAACGAGTTACACTCTTCCAAGTAACATCAGTTCTTGACTACACTGTTGTCTACCACAAAACCCACTCAAGAAGGCTAGAGAGTAACTTTGTAAGGACTATTCTTCAAAATCAGACCTCAGGACATCACAAATTGGGACTTGAGCTTTGTCCGCTTTAAAAATAAGCAACAAAACCTTTGGCTTTCGCTCAAGAGGCAATTCCATCTTTTTGTGTTCCCAGGCACATCACTTTGTACCTTTTAGTTGCCACCATAAGGATTTGCAAGGAGTTTCTATTTTTCTCAAAACTCTTCTTTTACTTGACCACATCAGTGCTTTACCCTCAGCTGTACCATGCCTCAGAAGACGGAAGGTTTTGGGAGACGAGGGGGAATGCAGCACAAACTCCAACCTGCTGTTAGTGTTGGCAGCAGCCAGTCTCTCACAAGTCTCTCACAAAAGGACACAACATTTTCTTTTTTGCAGACAACTTAAGCTTTCAACTCCCTATGATGCCCATAATGATGCCCTGAATTTTTCCAAATTTCTATCAGCCTACAACTAAAAAAATAACTCAATAAATAGTCCAACCCTCTGCTTTCTTACATGCCCATTCCAATAATATCTGAATGCCCTAAAGAGCACTCTTTCATGCTGCTGCAGAATTTTTCCTTTCAAAGTTCTCCAAACTCTTTCTAAACATCAACTAATGAATCAGGCAATATTTACCCAGTTGCCTGGAAAACAGAAACACCTTTTGTAACAGGATAAAGTAACAAGGAGTGACTCATTCGCAGAGCCAGGAACAGAAGTTGTAACTCTCAGCTCCTATTAACGTGGCATCTCCCCAGACACATGTCCCAAAACTCCTGCTCCTGAGATGACTGATTCATCTCTGGAACACTGAAGATTTAGCAACCCGCAACGTTGTGCTCTATCCCCGACACCAGGCAACTTACCAGGCATGATTAATTCAATATTCCTTTGTCTCTCACACTGCCATTCATGGAACATCAAACGCCTCAGCGAGGAATTCCTAATTAAAACACGGAAAGGCTAAAATAAAACGTATTTTTGTACTTTATTGGTGGGTCTTTTATTCACAACCAAAATAGTTTCATGTCTAACTGGGTACAGAGCCACATATGCTATCTCAGAACACAGCAGCGAGCAGTGACCACTTCAATGCTGCAAGCAATTCCTGTGCTGCCCCTTCATGTCTAGAAGGAGGTGTCGAAAGGACTGAAATCTCCTGAACAAGGACCTTATCTGCAGTGTCACATGCAGAGGTGTCCCTGGGCACGTGCTCACATGGCCCTGCTCCAGCATGCCATTAGCACCAGCGAGCCTAACTGAGCAGGAAAAGCACCTGGCATTCCCAGCCCCACATCTCCCAAGCCCAGGCACTCTGGGGAACTCGGCTGCTCTACCTCGAAGTGACAAAATAAGCAGCAACTTGCTCTAGTCCACACTGTCTCAACAAGAAACCCAAGTATTTTGCTACATTATGCTAAAAAATTAACTTCCCTGGTCTCCCTGAGACCACTCAACCTGGAACTGAAAGCTCAGGTCTAACCTCTGTCTCATACCACAGACCTGACAGAAGCCAAGGCCAAGGAGCACAGTTTCCACACAAACCAGCCACTCAGGCAGCCCCTTCTGGCCACAAACCTGCACACTCCCCTCCGCTGTATGAAATACAGAACACACTGCAGAGACTCAGCAATCCATAATGATCTCCGTCAGTGGAGCAGCGTGCTCTTGCTTTCTCCTGACGGGAAGGAGAATGACAAGAAACAAGAAAAGCACCATCGATAAAGAAAGAAAAGGCACAGACTGCCGTCATCGCCACAGGGAAGCAGAGACACAAACCACAACTCTGCATGTATGCCAGCCTTGCCAGTGCTTGGAGCTGAAGGCAAAGAAGCCCAGTACAGCGGGATGCGGAGAGCAAAGCCAAAATTTCCTGCTAAATATTGCTGCCAAACAAGAGATTTCTTGTCAGTATTTGTAAAACAAATTGAGCCTGTGCTGTAAATATCCCTGCATCTGTGTGCTGTTTGTTTCGGTATGAAGGCTTGCAAATAAGCTTCCCAGCACACTTGCAGTGGGAGAATAGCTTGAGTCACCCTGGCAGGACTCAGCTGTTCGGGCCATACAACTGGCCCTTCGTGACCTGTGACAGACAGCACTACTGCAGCCTCTCTGGTGTTACCACTGCAACGAGGTGGGCAGCAGTTTTCAGCCACCTGTATACAATAATTAAAAAAAATAAAATAAACAAAGGAAAAAAACCTTTCAAGAAAAAAAAATTGTTTTAAAGTTACCTCAACACTTTGAGATTCATTTCAGAATGCTTCAAAACCTCAGCAAGCAAATCAACCATAAAATTTGGTTCAGGCTCAAACTATTTGTTTGAGGGGTTTTTTTGCATCCACCAAGACCTCCTTTACCACAACAAGCCAGTCTTTCAGCTCACCTTGCACCATGAGGCAAGTTCACAAACTCTGTTATGACATTCCTTTGCAGGAACGATGAAAGGCATAGAAGGACATCTCTGAAAAATGCCCATCTATTTTCTTCCAGGTTCTTCCCAAATAAGTGATCCGAAAAAAAGCACTGCTTCACCCTCCAACAGAGAACTACACCTACTGCCATGTTACAGCATACTGGTCATTGCCTGCCACTCAGCAAGTGGCAATCTGATTGTACCAGCATCAAAGCCAATTTTGGGAACCTACTAATCTATTCTCTGGTCTCCCAACCTCTTACAGCATGACCCTCAGCGGGTTGCTTGTTTTGGCATGAAGGCTTGCAAATAAGCTTCCCAGCACACTTGCAGAGGGAGAACAGCTTGAGCCACTCTGGCAGGAGTGGGATTAAATCACCTTTCATTAGATACAGGAAGCTTAACTTAAATATTTCCCCACCGTGGTCAGAGGAAAGGCACTGCAAATACCAAGCTTCCTACGAAATGTATTAAAGCACTACCTGGGGAGACTTGAAAATATATTTCTTGAAAGTAACTTCCATAACAAAAGTTTGGTCTAGGTGTCAACATTTGGAAATTTAGAGCATATTAGGCTTTGATGAATTCAAGTTCATTTTATAGCAAAACCAAGCAATACATTTCTCTCCCCATACCACCACTTACAAATTCAGGAGTGGAGCTGAACTGACCCGTTGAACTAAGTGACAAAACTTCCATGGATTTCAACCTGAAGTTCTAAACACAAAACCTTTCCTTCTCCAACCAAGAACTAAAATAAATTCTGGACATGGTTACTGCTTAGATATATTAGAGCAGCATTTTGAAGGGCCAGATGAACAGTCTCATCATTCCAGCACCTGTACACACACGTCATGTACACACACACGATGAACAGTAAATCTGCCTAAAACCAAAGACACAAAAATGTGGTGAGCACTCCACAGTGAGAAATGGGGTTGATTAGAAATCGAAGTCAAGAGGCTGTCTCAGTATCCTATTTGTTAGCCCTCATTATTGACAACCAAAAATTATTAATCGGTGCTTTTGTCAGAAAAGGAGATTGGCTTTCACGGATTTCAGAGGTATGGCAGATCTCCACACAACCTTCACCTCATCAGGGTCAATACAATTTACCTGCTGGCTTTTCAGCAGGTGGGAAGTGGTACAGGCTTCACTGACCTCCAAGAACAGCCCTGTTTTCTGCCAGAGGATGACTTGGAACACTCTGCCCATCAGCTGGGCAGCGATGACAGTGTGTGTGCACTTGGACGAGCCCAGCAGAACACAAACAGAAGGCAGAAGCAGAGGACTCCATGGGAGAGACACCTGCCTGGTGGCAGGGGGAGAGCAAGGCAGGTTAGCCAAGCACAAAACCACGTTAACTTTGATTTACCAATGACTTATTCTGGGTCACTGCTTGATGGATGAGGGTTAGTTTCAAAAGTACAATTTTAAGGGAGCCACATGATGTGCAGAGCTGACTTTACATTTGTGCCCAGCGTACAATCTGTTCATATCATGGCAAATCCACCCAAACACACAGGTAGGCAGCAAGCTGTTCCTCTGCAGCACAGCCAGGGGAACTTGCTACCTGCAGGCAAAGGCAGAGGCACTACGATACACAAGCTAAAACCAAAAGCAACGTGTTATTGAGCTGAACCACAGTGGAGGCTTTTACATCTGCAAACCAGAAAGCACACACCTGTTCATTCCTAAACACAACCACTTACAAAAACAAGTTTTCCTAACTTCACATTAAAAACTGCCAGGAACTTATGCAACCACAGAGGAAAGTCCTTAAAAAAAGCACATCTTGTTGAGAAACACAAAGGAGTGGACGCCTCAAAACAAGTGAACGGCCTTATTGCTCATGCAATATTTGCTGTCAGAGCATAACTGCACTGCCCTCCAGCTGAGGCACAACATGTGGGATTCCTCCACCCTTGGCTTGTGGAAAAGCAGGGCAGTCAGAGCTTCCACAGTGTCCCCTACGAAAGGCGATGCTAGCTGGGGTCTCCAGCTTCAGAGTGGAAAACATCCTGTCAGAGAAGTGACAACAACAATAACGAAAAGAATTATTCCCCACCACCGGTCCAAAGGAAGAGAAGGTAGTAAGATATAAGCTCACTACAGAAGAAACTGCACAGAATGATGTGGGTTTGGTTAAAGGTAAAAAGTTTCAGAGGCATCAAAAAAACGAAGTCAGCAATAAAAGCCAAAAGGATAGAGGGGAGAAAAAGAAGAAAATGATGTGACACATACCCACAGTCTATCCAGCCTATAGTACCTCGTCCTTTCACCTCCTGGGCCACGCTGGACAATAACCTGAGTGAGCTTTCCGCAGCAGCAGCTGGAAGACAAAATAAAATAATAAAAATAAATTAACAACAGCATTACTACTCCACATAGCACAACACAATGGTGTGCTTCTTTGTTCTGAAGCAGTGGAAGAACATTTCGTCTAATTTGAAGAAACCAGTATGACAGGGATCAGTAAATTCTTCTGTAAACTAGAAGGAAAGCTGGCTGTTGCTGAAGCTGGGTGGCTCCTTTCCTCTCTCCCCTTAAACAACACAGAAATTCGTACCTCCAGGCATGCTCCCTGAGCTACATTTATGGAGCTATACTGTGTCCTCTACTGCAAACCTGTTTCCATCCCAACACTGCCTTCTCCCTGCGGCTGGGCATAAACCAGTTTGTGCCACTGCCTGCTAATTAGAGCAATTTCATTTAGGACTTTCATCAGCTGTAAGGGCAAGGCATTCAGCCTAATTTTCCCTAATTCCACCCCTGTCAAAGACAGAAAATAACACACTTTATTCTCAAATAACCCTTGGAGACCCCCCAGCCAACAGTCCTGAGAAGCACCCTGAAAAGGTCCTTCCAAGAACTGGCTGTATTATAGATACCCAACAGAGACTTTCCTAATGTCATGGCACACGTGTCGATTTTGCAAAACACTTCCCTTCCAAAAGAGTCTTATAAATGGTATTAAAAATAAACAGAAGAGAGAAAAATACAGTGGCACTAAGAAGTATCAGTCCCCCAAAAATCTACCAGGAACTGTTTCCTTCCTTGATGAACAGAAAATAGAAACCCAGAGCCTCTTCCAGATCTCCACAACTGCTTCAAGACACTAAATGTAAGAATGGCTATACTGGGTCAGACTGAAAGATTCTGCAATATCTTGCCTCCAGTATTTGAGAAAGTGATGGCCTGTAGATATCGGAGTAGACAAGTAGAGCCATTGGGATATTTGAGGGATACCCCCTCAAATAACCTCTAAACCTACAATTTTTGCCTCAACAAACCCCTGAGCCAGGAACAGTTTCTTTGTATTTGACAACCTTTGCTTGGCCCTGGTGCCATGAGAGACACCAACTCACACACATCAGCTCTCAAGAAACCCTCCTACCCCCACTACCGACAACACTCCACTGCTACCTCCCCCCAACAGGGACATGGACACGTGGGGGAATTCTCCGCATGTGGAACAGTCTGACCAGCACACTTTTAAAAATAAAAGCATTCAGGGACCCACCTGTCCCAGAAAATTCAGTAGCTGAGCAGCCCTGACAGGACACCTGGCTGGTAAGTCGAACTAAATATCTACAAATGAGGACACCTCCTGAAACCAGTGAGTTCTCTGAATGAGACAGAAAGTGTCACCTAGTTCTGCTCCACTGGGAAGCAAAGCCTTCTTTCCAGCAGCATGATCAGATGCTGGACAACATCTCATCACAGCTGGGGAATGTATATCTGGGATGCATAACTGCACTGCACCTCCAAATTCCTCTCTCTTTTTTTCCCCTCCTCTCTTTCTGAGTGACAGAATTTTAATTGTACAAGGATCACTGTTCTAGAAAGAAACATTAATCCCACAGTCAGCTCTGCATGCAATGCTTTAGACTGCTAAAACCAACCAATTAAATAACAAAAACAGAAAAAAAAGAAATCTCCATAACATGGCTTTTGAACAATGCCCATAGGGCAACATTTATTAGATGAGTGTCACAGCTGAAGTGTTCTGGTTGTGCAGCTAAAAATGAAAGCAACCACCACTTAAAATATTAAGCGTAAAAAGAAAATTTTCCCTTTAAGAAGCTGAATAATACAGGTGTCTTTTTATCTAAAGTGTTCCTTTCAAAATCAAAAGGTATTAGAAACTCTTTTATGGTTTTTACTTTGAACCTGTTACTACAAAACCATTTGGCCAAGTTCAAGCGCTCAAAGTTCCCCACTACAGCAAAACACAAGTCTTTTAACAAAATAATAAGTCACATATATAATTTTAACTATTTCAGAATAATCTTTAGGACACAAAGTTAATTATTCCAGCCCCTGCACCTCTCTGTCTGCAAAATTCTCTGATATTGGGGCGATGGGGACAAGAGGATATTAGTCATGACATACTGCTCCCATGTGATACATTATAAACCCAGAGCAACTCTACCATCATTGTATTTAATTTAGATAAGACCTTTGCAACAGGTCAGAAAAGGAGGACACAATACCCAAGCAAAGCATTATCTTGTACAGCTTGCCTACAGGAAGGAAAAGGAAGCAACAACAAAAACAATACAGCACTAGAGAAAATAATCTCAGTGACACATTCTACTTCTTGCTCTCCAATGACTTCCACATTCACAATAGCATTCTGCAGTTGTGTATGAAGTTTAAAGATAGTTTATTCATTCTACATGGTGTCACACAACACACCAAAACAAACAAGGGAACAGTACAGCCAGAGCAGAGCAAAAGGAAGAGCAAACAAGTAAGAAAACAGCCAGAATGCAGAGCCTGAAGGAAAGACAAGACAACAAAAAGATTCAAGGGGACAGGTGGCATAACATGAGATGAGTCATTTCTCCCTCTTACACAACAGTTCATTTTTTATTTTTATATTTTGTTAATTAAAGCTGAAAGACAACCATGGGACACTCAAAGCTGTCAGAAGCAAAGATGGATTGATTTCAGTACTGTAACTATTCATTAAGCCTTTCAGTGTCACCAGGAAATCAAAACTTGCAAACTACTGCGATAAACACACCAGAAAGCTCTTATTACACAGAGCTGTTTCTGGAGACAAAGCCAGAATAAAGGACGTTTTTACCAACGTGACAGAGCAATTATAGGGCCGAATCAAGATGACTCCAATCTTGAAACACCAGGAGCCTCTGGATTAAAACAAAGGACACCAGTCCTGAAGAAGCCCTTGGAGTCACACAGAAGCCCCTTGGTGCACACCTTGCTGGTGTCACAACAAGCTGTGACATCAAAAAAAAATTAAAAAATAAAAGGACTCACCAGATTTGGAATACAGCACTAGTATGTTATTCCGTGTCCTGAGAAGCTTCTTAAAATCCTTGTGATCACTTATTTTTTCAATGAGTGGAGACACCTTCAAGGAGTACACGAATGCTGGCAAGAATACCTACAGAAACACAAAGCCAGAAACATCAGTAACAGCTCCCATGTGGAGAAACAAAATACAAAGACAAACTGCTTTTGCAAATTGCCTCAACGTTTTTCTATAATCTTGAGACCCGTTGCCTTAAATAAACTATCATATTGATTTGATCAGCAACAGCCAAAAAGCCTTAAGTGGAGAGATAAACACAACATCAAGAAATACAGTTTTAGTTAAGATGCCATCCCCTTTAGAAGTTTGTTCCCTAGTCAGATAATCAGATAAGAATTCTTATATAAATTTAATATACTCTAACAAGAGAAGCAGCAAATTGCCCTTGAGAGCACTCTTGTCCCTAGGTCTCAAAATACACTGCAAACTCAATTGAGTACTTTGATATCCTACTAAAGACAGTGGGAGCCATGAAGCTAAAATAACCCGCACTGACACAGAGCAGATGAAGGAAATGAGAACAGAATATGCAAGTAATCCAGCATCCACATTACAGCACTAAGCACAACCCTCTCCCACACACCTTCCCAAAGTGAAATACGGTTTATGTTTCCCAGTGTCCATCCTGTATCACACACACACAGAGCAGTGTCTTTGCCACAAGATCAAGTTTGGCTTCCGCTGGCCACATGGAAGACACAGCATTTAATCTCTCTGCATCTCAGTTCTGTATCTACGCAAAGAAACTGGTTTTTACCGCATCTTCTGGTCTATCTAAATCATGACCCTTCCAGAGCAAAGTTTGTCTGTCATAAAGTAAAACTCCTATCAAATTATGACCATAACCTCAGCTGGGGCTTCTACTGCTCATTTGTACTGCAGTAATAGTTACTACTAACTACTACTACTACTAATAATAATAATCTTATCCATCAGGCTATGCTGCCTCCCTTCCACACTGTACTGAAGTCATGCTAATGGGAATGATTATGGGAAGCTTAGCTGGAGAAATTATCTAGTTTCCATTCACCTTACAGTAAAACCTTAACACTTAATTGCTTGGCTAAAAGCTTTAGCTCATTTGCCTAACACACACAGGAGGTTCAACATTTTCTTAATTACAGAACTGATTTTGATCGTGCCTCACTCCAGATGGGCTGGAAAATGTGTCCAGGGTGGATGTGAAGAAGTAAGAGGCTGTTTTCCTTGCATCCCATATATTACAATATGCAGCATTCAAAGGAGGGACTAAGCCAATCAAAGTCAGGACCCTGCAGCCCCAGGCACACACTTCATTACAAATACAGCTATTTGCAAACACCACAATCACTGAGGCACAGAAACAAAGCCTGCACCTACAGAACAGAATTCATAACTGCTAGAAGTTTTTACATGTGGAAAAGAGAGCAGGGTGGGGTGAGTCCTGGGACACACAGGGCAATGGAAAGGTGCTGAGCTTAAATGGAGGTCATCCTTAAAACAACCAGGACATATTTGGTCATTTAAAGTTACTAGAAAATACACCTGTAACATAAAATCTAAGAGTGAACAAGTTACCCCACTCCACAGGCAGGATTCCCATCACTGAGCTTTGCTGACCAAATGGTCTAACTGTGAAAAAGAAAAGTACACAACTGCAAGTCAGCCCCTACCTTCAGCATAAACGTTCTCAATGCTTTACTTTGACCAAAAGACTCACATTCTTCTAAATCCAGATATCCAGAGCTCAGCCTTCCTACTTCAGGCACAGGAGGAATTAATCTAATTTTGACTTATGGGCAAATCTATCTAATCTAAAATAATTTATATAATAATAAATTTATTCTTTATTTAAAAACTTTTCCCTTCATCTCAGTTTTTTGTAACTATTTAAGTGTCTTAGATTTTTATTTATGCCTTAACTGAACTATAGCTGAACACAGCAGAAAAGTGAAACTACAGGTTGCTTACAGTTTAAGGAATTGGACTCAATTAAGGAAACTCTAGTCTATGAACTCTGTTAAAAAGAAATAATTGGAGTACAAAAAGCCACAAAAGCCACTTTCAACATGATACCAAATGGTATTATAAACTTTATTTAAAGCATCTGTCCAGTTTTTACTGGTAGGTCAGAAGAGGGGTGTTGTAACTAGATGATCTTTAAGGCCCCTTCCAATCCAAACCATTCTAGGGTTCTAAGTAGAGGCATCTTCCAGATGGAAAGGCTGTTTCGCCACATTCAGTGACTTTTCTTCTTCTTTTTCTTTTCTCCCCCCTTTCCTTATAATGGCAGAGCTATAAACTTCTTGAAAAATTGGATTCTGGAAACAATGACAGCTGTAACTACTGCCTTGTCAGTGTTGCCACTAACAGAAAACTCGCTGTGCTGGTGGAACAGTAGGCGCTTGGAGGGAGACACGTGTCACATTGCATATATCCACTGCTACTTTGCCCAGTTCCTCTCCAGGTATCAAATCAATACATGTTACCCGTTTTCCCACAGTTTCACCACAGCAGCTCTCTCTGTTCCTATGGTTTAGACCAAAACCCACCAGGAAAGGCATTGTGTTGTGCATGTGACCACACCAGCCAGCCCTGCCAAATAAAACATTACCTCTCTTTAATTAAGATTAATGTGGCAGCCTTTCCTTGTTATAAAACCCGAAAGGTCCAAGCCAAAGGTAGAGCTGGACAAAAACGCCCTGCCTGCACATCTAAGGCAGCCGCAGCAGGACTGGGAGGTTATCGGCTGAGCGGGAAAGTTCATCACCTCCCAGCTCGCATTTGTACTACATGGTGTTTGCAAACTGATAAGAATTAAGTACTTCCGAACTCTCCAGCTTCCTCCTGCTGAAATTAATCTAGACCCTATCCAGGAATAAACAAGAGGCCGGTTTATCGTTAAACCTCCGGAAGAACCCGCTCCGTTGAAGGTAAGTGATGCCAAGCAGTCATTTCCATCAGATGCCAGTCACAGTCAAAGCTGTGATGACTGTACCAGCAGCTACAGCCTCACAAGGGCTACAGCCACTAGTTGTGTCCACAACGTGAAACTGAGAGCATGGGAAAAAAGAATCCTATAGAAGCAGCTATACTCTTCTTCTCCACAGAAAACCAGGATCATATTCCTGCACAGCCCACAGGTAAAGCAGCAGTAAAGGTGAAGCTAATTGGCACGACTGTGCTATATGAATATAATTTTAAGATACGAGTCAGGTAGATTTACTCCAGACATTTTGCAGGAGAGCTCACCAGCCAGGCACTGCCCAATCAAGCACATTGCTTCTTGTTTAAATCCAGGGCACAAGAGGAGATGAGTACATATTAAAAAAAGAAAAGGTCAAGAAAGGTGGCAGTACCTCCTGGGCAGGAAGCCTCTTTTCATATGCGTCAGGAAGTGCTACATTCACACATATGGAAGTCTATAAATAAGAAACAAGCTAAACTCTCTTGTCACTTGAGCATCCTAAAGCTTTAAAATCTATTCACAACCACTGCTGAAAAGTTAAGAAACACTCCAAATACTCTTTTCAAGAAGCTGCTTACCTCAGTACCTGCTAAACTATAAGGCATATTAACACAATCATGTGCAACATCTGTGCCACCCTTGCCAGTTATGCCAATGAGAAATTGCAATAAAACTGAAGGCAGGTCTGTTTTATTTCATGCTGTGTTTGCACAGTGCCTAGCAGAACAGGTCCTCATCCACAGCTGGCCCGGTGAGCTGGAACCAACACGACCGTCACCTGGTGTCCTTGGATGCAGGAAATTTTGGTAAAGACATTCAGAAAAAAGGCAAACTACACGTGGCAGACTATGAAATGCAAATCTCATAGCAATTCCAGTCTGCAGACTTCCCCCAGCTCAAGATCGCAATGTGAATTTATTTTCACAGAATTTTTTATGGTGTTGGTCGCACATCAGTCATGTGACTGTAGTGTCTAAGATGCATGAAAGATTCTCAAGTAAAACATAAGTGAATCCAAACCCTCAAGACAGTCAATTCAAAACTTCTGAGCTACTGCTATTCAAGTAGAAGGTACAAAAACCCCCATGTTCTAGCTCTGCCTCTGCTCTTCAGTGTATGTATTCAAATATATGACCTTGCAAGCTAGGTGGGAGAAAGTCTGATCAGTCAAAAAGGTTTAATTTTCCTTTTTTTCACTACTCTTTACCAATTCCTTGCAGAGCTGCTGAACATATGCAAGTACTAAAGAGCAGTAAACACCCCACAACCCCAGTCCTTTAGAAGTGGTACCCAAGAAACATCTGAGCTTTCAGAAACCCAGAGGCAAAGAGTTATAGGCAAATAACTATTTGCTAATTATACTTCCAGGACTGACACTACTGAAAAATGTGGTCATCCCTCAGGCCACGTTTTCTCAAAATCATCAAGGATCTGAGAAAGCAGAGTTTATTTCTCAAATTTTACTCTTCTCTGAATCTCATTTTAGAATGAAAAAAGGGAATATCTTTCAAACAGTCACAAGAATGTATTTTCATATTTTACATTTATTATTAAAATTAAATGTGATAAATGCTTAACTGCTGTTCCCACAGAACCCAGTTCAATTTATGAGTTGCTCCCCACAAAAGCTTCATGACAGCATGGTCTTTTGCTAAGGATAAGCAGCACGTGTGGAGAATTGCTTATTTATTTATTTTACATCAAGGGCAATGAAAACACACATTTTTTAACAACAAGAAAATAGAAATCAAAATTGAATAAGGAAGAACTATCAGAAGCGTAGCATTATACACTGGACAGAAAAACTGTTTCCTATTTCTCCTATTTCCAGCTCAAGAGCATGAAATATAAATTTCCCTGGACACAAATTATGCATGAAAAATATAAATGGTTATGCTGCTGACACAGTGCTTAGGTGCCCGAATCCATATGTCAACATGCAATTTTTATGCGCACACTAACACGTGTATAATTAGGCAGACAATTTGCACACTATTCATCAAGAATAGCTGGGGCTGACTCGCACACAAGGCTGGTTCCAGCACAACTGCTGCTTGGCAGGGACACAGTCTCACGCTCGACCACAATTTTCAAAGCCCACTTTTAAGCAAGACGTTGACTTTGA